TGTGTTTTTTTTTAAGTAGAGAGCATCTAAAAGGTTCAACCTTATTATATTTTTTTAAATGTCGTGACAACTCTAATGAGCAAAAAAAGTAGACATTAAAATTCTTCTATTTTGGTATCTATTGATAAAAAAAATTATCTGGTTGCTTAGCGATTAAGCATTTAATATGTTCACATATCTGCAAGGAAGTGTACTAAGTACACATTACGTATTTATCACATTATTACAACTGGTGTTTTTCCTCTTCTTTCTCTGGCATAAAAATCATTATGTACAATGCATATGTTTTGCCATACTCATTTATATTTCAAGAACATTTTCAGGTACTGTTTTTAATTTAAAAAAGTTAATGAGAAATAATTAATTTTTTCCTCAAGAAAAAAGTTTTCTACGCAAATTAATTACTACCTACACGATGAAAGCATGAACACAGGATTTTTGTTCCAATGCTTTTTTTTTTTTGTTGAAATTCTGTTTCTTCTCATGACTTCTGCTGCCTTACCTCTAAGTCAAAGCAGTCATAAAGACAGGGGGCAGTTGCAGGTATGGCGTTTCGAATTCGTTCAACTAGAAGGCAAGTATAGTTTAAGCATATAAGTTTTGTGCATTATATATTTACAAATGCATTCATATGTGCTTGTACATGTACATACATGTATGTACAGTTATATGCATACTCATATCAATGCAAATAATTCAAGGTAGTTATCCTTTGTTCGAAAACAAACTATTTTCGTAAATTTTGTTTTATTTTTTTCCTCGAAATTGAACTAAACTTTCATTTGAGAATCATGTGTGTGCTTATTCAACATACATACGTGTACGTAATGCAATTTTAGCCGTTTGAATCAATTTTTCCACTGTGAAAGCAAAAGAGGTTGATTTTCAAACAAAATGTGAATATAGAATTCGCAAATGTAGGAGAAGTTTTCATTAGATTTTGTAGAAAGCATATCAGTTTTCCTTTAAAAGACTCACGAAATTATTTTTTCACTGAATCTGAAATCTTCTTATATTAAAAGTCTTTGAAATTGAAGAGAAAATAACATACAAACATTTACATAAATTCAATCAAAATTAATGAATTTTCAATAAATTATCCGGACTTCGATATACAACACCTTTTCACAGATGTTAAAGCTGTCTTTGAGAGCACAGTAAGAAACTGCCTTTACGCCACTTTGTCTGAGTTTGGTATTCCTGCGAAAATCGGGCCCTTTAACACCAAACTGGGTTTCAGACGGGATGACTATTTATAATGCGATTTCTTAAATTTAATGCATTTTACAAGAGCGTAGAACTGCTGGCGTATACCGATGGCATTAATATTATAGGCCTTAACAACCGTGCCAATAGCGCTGCTTTCTTCAAGCTTGAAATAGAAGCGAATTGGTCTGGTAATGAACGAGGATTAGACGAAATATCTTCTGTCATCAAACCAAGAGCCGGCGCGTTAACGGTTTGGGTCCCAAGTCACTTTGGTTTGTCCTAGCTTCGAAGCTGTAAAAAATTTCGCATATCTAGGGACCAGCATTACAACCAATAGTAAATTTAGCCTTGAAATCCAACCCAGAATCACTCTTGCTAACAGTTGTTATTTTGGACTCTTTTCTCGACGATGCAAAGGCTACAAGTCACTCATCATACTATATGGTGCAGATGATTGCACGCATGTCGACATCCACTGAGGCGGCCCTAAAAGTCTTAGAGAAGAAAGTTTTTCAAGCGATTTATGGTTTTTTGGCTATGACGAATACCGCAGACGATAGAACCATGAGCAATATGAGTTGTACAGTGACATTGATATAGTTCAGCTAATAAAGAGGCAGCGCCCAAATGAATAAAAGCACTCCAGCTTTGAAAATATTTGATGCAGTGGAAGTAGAGTAAGAGGAAATCTGGGTTCAGTTTTAATAACAGATCTCTTCTTTGTTACACCATTGAAAGCATATGTATAAATGTACCAACGAAAATACCTAGCACTTATAATTATTTGCAAAACATTTCAACACCAGTTTTAATTAAACCATTGAAATTGCCATTGACTATTTACAAACATTTCCAAATAAATATTTTTAAGCCATTTTGAGCATATGAAAATAATTTAGTGTTTAGTGTTTGAAAATAAAATATATATAGAGATGTTATTATAGATTTATAAAATTTATTATTTCTCTATCATCGCTAATATGATATCTCATGCCTCGAATTTGCATACGAAAATCAAATAATTTTTACTTCATTATACATTTATTTATATACATGAATATTAAATAGAAATGTGGTGAATTGATGATTTGGAAAAAAGCTTACCTCGAATTTACTTATATATTTTTTTTGTTTAAATCGGTTTTTTCTTTCTTTTGAAAATGGAAAATGCGCTAATGCGTATTCTTTGTCAAATTGAAAAGTGCAAATTTGTTTTTTGCTATGATTCTGTTTGTTTGTGTGTTCACCCTTTTGTTTTGAAAAGTTTTTCGAATTCATTTCATTGACATAGAATACACATAAGCCTATTTTCGTTGCAATACATTCAACTATTGCCAAAATCAAAATTTTTACAAAGGCGAAACATTTACGCGGCTATTTCGGACTTGGTAAGTTAAAGCGCCCTTTTGACTTATATTTTGTATTTAATATTTTTTTTTTTATTGGTGAGTGGGTAAAGTGGGTGAGTTTTTGTTAAGATACACATATGTTTATGCATATCTCGGTTACGATTTCGTATGTCTACAATACTACTTTTTCGAAGTGATTAAAAAATTTGCTTTTGAAACTAGTGAGTTGTCAGTTTATATGAATTCGCTGATGATGGAGAGTAAATAGAAATATATGTAGAGATCGATTTGTTGTTGTGCAGGTATTGGTTTGGATTGATTGATAGAGTTTGAGTTAAAGAAGATATTACTGTTTGTAGTTGAGTTGTGTTTGTTTTTCCAGAAATGCTTTGGTAGGTAGATGGGTATTTTATTTTGGTGATTTTATTACAAATTCATGGAATCAGCGCAGCTTCGCTTGTATAAAAGGTGTTTAAATTTTTATTCTATAATCACGCACAGTCTTTCATAGTTAGAGTAGCAAACATTTTCCGCCTTTTCCTAATTTCGCTTTGCCGCTCTAAAAATTCGCCACAATATCATAAATTCAATTTAAGTGGCGAAAAATCTTCCAAAATGTTGAACATTAAATTACATAAACGCCGATAAAATCTGCAAACCCAATGCGCTATAAATCCTCTGAATGGCGGTAACTGGCGCGTTTCGTCCGCTTTTTGGGGTTACAGCGGCTGCTGACCGGGTAAGCAAGGTGGTGTGCAGGCGCTTGGAGCTTTGTGGTGCTTATGGTACACTCTCTCTGCCTGCGCGAATGCTTATAACTGCTACAGTTTGCCTTATAAATTTTCAACTAGCATTTGCTGGCACTAAATTTAACGTTCGCCTATGCTTAGCTTCATTATTTTCTTTTTTTTTTTTAGGTTTTTGGAGTGTAAGGAATGAAGCTGTACATTTTTTACATGTTATGCGCCCCTTTACTAACCCTATTCAGTGTTACTTTTTCAAAAAAAAAAAAAAAAATAGGAAAAATTGATATTTTTGTGGGAAAATAAATTTTGTTTGTGGTTTATTGGTACTTAAAAGTTGTAATATTTTATTCTCTTGAGCTGAAGTCAAAAACGAAATACAAAAACACGCTTACTTTAAATATTCTTAAATCGAAAGTCGATTTATTTGAGGCCTTTCGGTATGGATGTTAAGAAGCGAAATGAAAGTTTTGAGCTCAAGGAAAAAATCATATCAAGGCAGGCACCCTTGCGACGACCACATTGAAGTAGGTATGGGATTTATAAAAATTATTAAGACCAGCCTCCATCCATCAATTCGTCTTCAAATTTTTAAAAATTGTTTTTAAAGTGGGATCAGAGTAACCAGATATTAACTAAACACTTCTGAGTACCTGGTACCAGCGGAAACTGTAGTAACTACAAACTCGTGGGTGTACTATTGTACATTACTTATTGCAGTCATCTCACTTTTAACGCTGCTTGTTTATTATATTTGAGCAAAAGCTTCACTGTTATTATGCAACTGAACTCTGTAAATTTGGCTCCGTGAGACTCTTTCTCCTTCTTAAGCTTGAAGTGATTTATGAAAGGTGTATGATGTGATTTACGATGATTTAGGATATGAAGTCACAGACTTCAAGAACATACCGAAAAGTGTAGTTTAGCGCTTTTTAACGGCTAAAATAACGGTTTACTTATTGCTTGCGCCTCTCGGTAGCGAATTTTAATCCTTACTTGTGCATTTCTGACAATAAACAAAAGCTCCTCAGAAAATAACGACATAAAGCACATATGGGCAGTTCCTTAGGACACCTTATATTGTTTACTAAGCAAAGCCAGCGCTGATTCCCAGAAAATGATAAAAATCATGAATAAAAGATAAGAATCCAAGTGAACGACCTTCAAACGTACTTTTTTTTAGAGTATAGGTCGGTACATGAAAATTTAATTACTATTGTTTTCGTTAATATTTCTTAAAATCCATACAACCTTTAGAATTAGTAATAGATAGAAAGAGTTGAATAATTTTTTCTCATGTATGAAAGAAATAATTTTAGTTTGTTAAGAGAAAGCTTCAATGTATGCGTGAAGGATTAGCTAATGAGTTTAGAATTTTTATTGAATTGAAAAAAAGCGTTTCAGCTTGAAGCGTTAAGTTTTAATAGTAAAATTCGCAGTTAAAAGAATGTTCATTTAATTTAAGATTTATATATTGTATTTTTAGACTGTTAATGACAGTGTATGCGTGTGTACACAAATGAAATGCAGCTTTTCATTTTGTGGCTTCTTTTGAAGTTTACTTTCATCAATTGTGTTTGTTGAGTTGTCACCTACATAGTATATAGTTAAACACAAACACAACGGTAATGACAACAACAACAACAGTTACTACTCTGAAGCTTCTACAAAATTGCCGACGCGACGGCGCGCTACTCACCCAATAGTTCCCACTCGCCGTTGAGCACGTAACTGCTGATATCACCGCCAGTTTCATCTTGTAATTGCAAGTCCAGCTGTTGAAAGGGCGGAGTATGATTAATATATATATACTATACACAAATGTAATGTACTTTATTTTCAATGAAAACTCCAAAAAAAAAGAAGTAAAAAATTTTATTACTACAAAATTAACTAAAATATCGTTAAAAAACTAAAAATAAAAAAATAAAAATTATCAAAAATTAATGAAAAATCATGAAACGGCAGAGTGGCTTTACGGTAGTCATCAATCAGTTCCTCATACTCTTTCGCGGTGTTTTAAATATTTACAAGCTTTTTAATTGGACGGTATTTTCAGTTCGTTTCCATTTTGCAGCAGCGTCCACCAAGTCCATACGGCAGCGCGTCCAGACGTGTGTGCGAACGCTTGTGTCAGTATTATCGCTTTACGTTGTACATTCCAATTCATTCACCATCAATTGGTTTGTTCACTTCATTTAACATTATAATTTGTATGTTTGTTTTATGTATATAAATGTGTGTTTAACTACGATATTTTCATTTAATCTTATATACTTGTGTGTGTGTAAAAATATGTAATTATTAGTGTCATTGTTGATTCAAACCTGAAATCCATCGTATGTCCAACTGCCGAATTTCATTTCGCAACGTTGGTCATCGAACGGAAACCAAGTGATGTCGATTTTGCATGTAGACTTGAAAATACCCGGCGGCACATATAAACACGAACCGTTATTGCGCACCACCACATTCGTTTGATATGTGCCATCGAAACCCTCGTCAGCGCTGTTGTACATCAGCACATCCGGTTTCCATATCCGATGCGGCGGTATGCGTAAATCTTTAACGCCACCATAATCGGATGTATTCCAACGTAGATTCATATCGTTCCACTCCTATGCGTGTGTGTATTTGTGGACATGAAATAAATGGAAGAGGAAAAAAAAATAGATAAGAATTATTATTTATGTATGAAGCGCGTGATACTGACGAAAAAACATGAAAAATTAAATCAAATTTAATCGTAGTCGAAAATTATTAACAAGGGAATCAAGTATGGAAAAAATTATTTTACTTTATTTAATTAAATTAAAATACATATTGATATTTTATAGTTATTACATATTTCACCACACGAAATGATATTGATTTCAAGGCAATGGTAAAAAAATCTATTATCCTTAACTGGAACTAAAGACGTCTAAAAGTAATTTAAAATCAAACTAAAAAAATTTTCATCTCAGGTTTTTTCCAATTTGCATTCCAGGTCCTTTGTACTTCGCGTAACCACAGATCGATAGAACTAATTGAAAACATTCAATTGCCCTTTCAACATTAAATGACCTTTGGTTAAGTCCAATGTGTGTCACCTCAAAATCAAGTTAAAATTAAAAGTTTTATGGAGCAAAATAGACCTGGAAAAGTGAGTTCTATACGCCAACTAAAATTTAGTCGAAGTTTTCCTCTCACACTTTACCAAAAATAAAACGAAATAATAAACCGTAAATACGTTGAATAATCGGTTTCGAGCACAGATTTTGGTAAATTAAATTCGATAGGATTTCGGAGGTTGATTATTCCGACTCCGATCAGGTTCAGCTTCTATTATAGTCGAGCTTCTGAACAATCCAGAAAAAGTGATGAGTCGTTCTGGGGATTCTCTATTCTCTCTGAACCGATTGGAAGTGCACTTCCTTATTCGCCTTCATATATTTTTTATATTAATAAACTTGATAAAATTGTCGCGTACTAGCCTCAACAAAAACTTCTTTTTTGTTTGTTTGTTCATTTCCTTGGTTTTCCTTGTTTGAAAGGAATATTATTATTATAAAGAAAAAATTATTTAATACGGCAAGGGGAAAATTATCCCAGTGTACTTGGTGTGACATGGTGGCGTGAGCTATACAACCCAGTCTCTTTGGGTAATTCGGTCTTCACCAAATAATTGAGGAACAATGCACACTCGCAGGAGAATTGTGAAGACCGACGCGTAGCTTGGGCCTAGCTCGTAAGTGCGTGCCAGATCAGATTCTTGCAATCTACAAAAAGGTGCACACCTTTTTTATGCTGTCGATCGTTATACAATTTCGAATTATTTTATTCTATTTTAGCAAATTTTTATTGCCAGCCGGGGCAAAGTATAGAGTAAGGTCAGTCGAGTTACCTCTGGCAGTACGGGAGTAATGCGAGTGGGTTCGTAGCCAGTTTGGTTGGACCACATCTCGGGTGCACCCCAAAATAATATTTTGTTTATTTCGTTCACTTAGGTGCTTGCTTGTTGCCCAGCTATTTTTTTTTTCATCTCCTTTTCGTGCAGTAGTTTGTTTTGACGTGTGCGGTGTGCCTGCCAACACTTGACCAACAGTCACTTTAGGTAAACATATGCATGTACGTATGTACATACGCACATGGAGGTGACAAAATATTAAGAGGTTTCAATTGAGTTCTTTTTTATTTCAACTCAAGTCTTTGAGTAATTTGCTCTGAATCACATCTTCCCCCTGAGCAAATACAGGAAAACAAAATATTATGAATTTTTTTCCAATAACCAGGCATTCAACAACTTGTTTAATTAAACAGTTGCAACCGTTACAGAAGTTCAGCTTAATAGGAATACAGAATCAAAAATACATTTCCGACTTTTATAAAATGTTCAATAAATTTAATTAAAAAATCGAATACTGTTAGATGATATACTGCGTATCACAATTAAGTGAAAATCATCAGTGATTTGTTAAAATTCGCAACAAATAAATAATGGAGAACATAATGTTTGAATATTGCAAAAGCTTTCGCGCTTTATAACAACTTATGTGCTTTTTCATCGTTCCCTCGAAGAGGCCCGTTAGGCTTTAAGACGTTTTTGAATTGATTGGAAGCTTTTCAAACGTTGATTAATAATTCGGAAGAAAATATGGTCATGTGCAGAAGTTCAAGCAAGTGAAGGAAGGAAGAAAGTGGGTCCTTGTGAAATATACTTTATTGGCCATTTAAAGAAGTGAAAATTTGGTGTCGGAATTGTGGTAGGATGGAGGCTCCGATGCCAGAAAAGGACGATGTCACCAAGGACTATTATAATACGCCTATCAGCGCTGCGCCCGCTACGATGTGAAAATTGTGTTTGAAAATTTTTACGCCAAGCATCTAAACTACCTACGTACCACTTTAATGGAAACAATTGGTTTTTGGTAGTGCCAAAAGAAGAGCAGGTACGAGGAGGAATGCCGAACTGCAGCGGGGAGAAAAAAGTCTGCCTTCCTCGCAACGTTGCGATCCACTACAAAACGAGCGGGTTGGTATAGATACCGAGAGCTAAAAATGGAAGCAAGAGGTATTTTCATACAAAAAAAAAAAAAAAAAACAAATAGACCGAAATGCGTTTGTATGAGGATGCGGCGACTAACTTTAAAGTTTCAATACCGTAGTATAATAATATATGGCTCAATGTACAAATCTGGTGACCGATTTCCAGAGCATATTTGGTGTATGTATTGAACACTTCTTTAGCCTTCTTAACAGCAGTGAAAATGCAGCTCTCGGAGATGGCGAACGCGAACCCACAATTGATGATGATGGAAAAGACGTTTATTTACCGGATTATGACGATGTACAGAGATTACTTACTTACTTTACCGGCGTAGACACCGCTTACGCGATTATAGTCGATTTTCTTCTTCTTGCTGTTTGGCGCAAATTGGAAATACCAAGTACAGCCAGGTCCTACTCTACCTGGTTTTCCAACGGAGTGGAGTTCTTCCTCTTCCTCTGCTTTCACCGGCGAGTACTGTATCGAAAACTTTCAAAGCTGGAGTATTCGCATCCATCCGGACCACACAATAACCTAGCCAGCGTAGCCGCTGCTTTTTGATTCGCTGAACTATATCAATATTATAACTCGTAGAGCTCATCGTTCCATCATCTGCGATATTCGCTGTTGGCAATGCGAAAAGGACCATAAATCTTACGCAAAACCTTTCTCTAGAAAACTCATAACGCCTACTTATCAGATGTTGTCATCGTCCATGCTTCCGCACCATATTGCAGGACGGGAACGATGAGGGACTTTTAGAGTTTGGTTTTTGTTCGTCGGAAGAGCACTTTACTTTTCGATTGCTTACGCAGTTTAAATTAGCATCTGTTAAGTCTACCATTGATCAGATATTCAGCATACGAAAAAGGACCCATCAGAAAAGAATCGATACAATCATCTATACGCCATTACGTCTGAATTCGGTATTTTTGCACAAATTTTCGGCTGTGTAAACTGACGCTAACAAAAAACGAACAGCACGAGGTCTCAGATAGGGTGCTTATTTATCGTGTGATTTCTTTAATTTGATGTTGGAGAAAATAGTAGGAGCTGCAGGGCTAAATAGACAATACAAAATCGTCTATAAGTGTACACCTGAGGTATGCCAATGATATCATTACACTGGTCAACACAAGTTTTATTTCCTCCATTTTTTTCAAATATTGGGTAATTGTATGGCCCTAACTATGAAAAAATACGAAGAGACTGCTCAGGTTTTATTATTTTAACAAGAAATCACAGAAAATTAATATTAAACAATATGTTAGGAAAATTTCTATTGCACAATATGAAATTATCTTATATAAGTTTTCTTTCAATGAACGGTTTTAGGCTGATATCGTTGCGAACTCCAACTGTAGTCGGCCATTGTGTGTGAGTCCCACTGTCACTGATACCGTTCTTCTTTTGTCCGAAGATCCTGATGGAATCTTTTCCCCTGCTCTGCATTATAATCACCCAGATTTTGTGGAAATCGATTTGAATGCGAAAAAAAGAAAGTGGATATTTATGCTCACGTTGCACCCTAGCTCCTGCGAGTTCCATAGCAAACCTTCTGCGACCAATGGTAATGTTTGCAATGTTGCCCCAGGGACACATGAGGCAAAGGAAATTCTTGTATCCTATATGTTGACCTAACAGATAGTTTATCATTTGCGGATCAACGTAAATGACCCAATTGTGATTTTGATTGGTTTTTTCCATTACCTTAGAAATATTTGCGCATCCTTCTTTTTAAATCACCGAAAGTACAATACGTTTAGATCCGTATTTATTACAGTTATGAAGCAAAACACTTCAAATATCTTTTGCTGATATCTATGAAGAGACGCCAATCACTGGGTTGGTACTATTTTTAACACCATTTGTTGCAAAATACCGCTAGCATCGTTACAAAATAAAATCCTTCTTTTGAGTAAAATATGGTAACCGATTTTTTGTTCTCGGGTACAATAAAATTTAGCTTTGGTTACCGGAGTTAGCAAATTTTTTTCTTTTATACGAAATGTTATAATTTCAGATGCTACTTTCGGTAAGTTTAGAACACTCGCGAATAAATTTAGTTCGATCTGATTAACAGGGATTTGGATCGTCATTAGAAGACATAGATGTGCTGGGGTGTTCACCTCGTGATTTTAATTTAATTAACCAGGAGATAAGTTAGGTACTGCAGAAGATTCTCTCTAAATCATGACTCTTGCGAATATTAGTGCATCTCTTTTTCCACTGGATCATGACCGCAGGCATATCACACATTTCCGCCATACAATATGAGGAGCTCATGGCTTGTCCTGATTACACAATTTTATTTTGAAATGTTGATGATACGCAGTTTTATTAGAGTCCTCTTTAAGATTTCGATATTTTGCAAATACATGTTCACCACAAATACAGCAAAAACATCGAGGATTAAGCACACAACCTCTTCGTAAAGAAACCATAGTGAAAACAACAATAAAATATATTTCTGTCCCGAATAAAAAACGCAAAATGCAGTAAAAGTAGTACTTAAGGTTAGTTAGCTGTAATTTAGAAACAGAAATTTTGTTTTTGTAGACCAGTGTTATCAACGGAGACAATAGCTAA